TGATCTCAGCTCACTGCAACCTCCGCCTCCCAGGTTCAAACAATTCTCCTGCCTCAGCTGCCCAAGTAGTTGGCATTACAGGCATGCACAACCATGCCCAACTAATTTTTTGTGTTTTGAGTAGAGACCAGTTTTCACCATGTTGGCCAGGCTGGTTTTGAACTCCCGAGCTCAAGTGATCCATCCGCCTCGGCCTCCCAAAGTGCTGGGATCGCAGGCGTGAGCCACTGCGCCCAGCCTCTTATATGATTTTTATGAGCTACATTATACACATACAAATAAATTTTAGATATGTTTTCATGCAAATGGAATTGAACTATATACAATATCTCATACTTTGCTTTTAATATTAACAAAAATCTCTCCAGGTGCAGTGGCTCACGCCTGTAATCCTAGCACTTTGGGAGGCCGAGGTGGGTGGATTACCTTAGTTCAGGAGTTCAAGGCCATCCTGGGCAACTTGGTGAAACCCCATCTCTACTAAAATACAAAAAATTAACAGGGCGTGGTGGTGCGCATCTGTCGTCTCAGCTACCTGGGAGGCTGAGGCACGAGAATTGCTTGAACCCAGGAGGCAGAGGTTGCAGTGAGCCGGGATTGCACTATTGTACTCCAGCCTGGGCAACAGAGCGAGATTTCTGTCTCAAAACAAACAAACAAAAATCTTAGGGGTCCTTCCAAATTTGTAGAGGAAGAATTTGCTCATTTTGAAAATGGTTATATATGATAGACCATGTTTTGTGAACCCATTTCCTATCAATGGACATCTAGATTGTTTCCAATTTTTCCTTTTTATCAGATTCTGCCAAGAATAACCTTATTCATATGACATTTCACACATGTATGAATTTACCTGTTGGTATAATTCCTAGATGTGCAACTGCTACATTACAGAGTTTGTGCTTTTAAATTTTTTACGGATATTATCACATTGCCCACAATAGAGATGGTACCAATTTACCATCAGCAAGAAGAGAGAAAGCCTGTTTCCCCACATTTGGGGGGATGTGTTTGGAAATACTGTCGGAGGCCAGACCACACTAAGCCTTGTATACAAAGTTAAGAAATTTGAACTTGATCCATGGAAACCCACGGGAGGGTGTAAATAGTGGATAAGGATGGTCAGTTCTGAGCTTTGAGTGAAAGCTGATTTTCATGATGACATCCAATAAATTTTTTAGGGGATTTTTATTCTCCAGAAGGCATGCGTGATGAATAGTGTGATGAATCAGGGAGGGGACCAGATATCCATTAGGATTTCAGCCATGCTGGGGAGAGAATGGGTATCATTTGGGCACAGCTGCCACTCGGCACAATGGGCTTGGATATAAAAGCAACTTGGTTTCTTTACCATCTTCCTGCCTTCCTGCCATTCTCTAACCTTCCTGCCATTTTTCTTTTATCACACACTTTCCACATGCTGATGGCTTTGCACGAAACATACAGCCCTCAGGGTAATGACGTAAAACCAATAGCAAGGACTTTTTATCCACCACTAACAGTTGACTGAAAGATAAGCAGACAGGTGATATAGCAACTTTATCTTTCCTGAGAAGACCATTTGACAAATTAATAGGCATTGGAGCAGGCATTGAACAAAGAGCTGGGTGACGCAAAACTGTAGACACTGTCAAGCTGAGCCTTTTGTTTCTTCAACAAAAGGTAGCTGCCGTTATTTGATGCACAGACAGAAGGGAAGATGGATGATGGGTGGATGTGAGGGCACGCGCATATGAAAGTCCTAGGAGTGAGCTCCATCCAGAGGCCCCAGCAGTGGTTCAAGCATGAGTGCAGTGGGCTTGGTACTCCTAGTGCTTGCTTTGAGGTTTAGGGCCGCCACTGCTAAGCCAGAGGAGGGCAGCTTTTGCTCTAAGAGCCAGGTGGCCTTCAGAGATGCTTGCTATGAATTTGTGCCAATTGGACGCACCTTCCGTGATGCCCAGAGCTGGTGCGAGGGGCAAGGAGGCCATTTGGTCTTCATTCAGGATGAAGACACCCAGCGGTTTCTGCAGAAGCACATCTCCCAGGACAGGGAATGGTGGATTGGACTCATGTGGAACTTGGCACGGAATGGAACCATGGAAGGTAGGTGCCGTGATCGCTGTGTTTTATGAGAAACTTGTGCTTGCAATTCTTGCCATCACTTCTCACCTAAAGCAACATGGAACAAATTAATATGTCCTAATTCTTATGGTATGGATACCCTTGCCTTTGGTTGTGTTGTGGATTAAATAAAATAATTCATGTCTAATGCCGCCTAGCACAGAATCTGGTACATCACTGACGCTCTACAAATGCTCACTTCTTTGCCTGTTCCTAATAATAATACTCTGACTGCTTTGGTTCTTGCTAGAATAGTGCCAGGCACTATCCTGAGTGCTTCATGGTCACTATCATGTTGAATTCTTACAATCACAATGAGAAAAATTATTATGTCTCTATTTTTTTTTTTTT